AAGCCAACTCTGCAGATATTCAACACACCCACCTCACTGTGAAATGTAAGATGGCTTTTCACCAAGTTCTCAGGGGAGAAATAGGGGTGGAAAAGGAAAAATGAAACGCAATTCAAATCTAAGAAACCCTCCGAGGCTGGACTATCCCAGAAGGAACAGAAAGTAGACGGAAGGTACAAAGGGTAAAGGAGAGGAGGTCCTATTTCTTCCTCTTTTAGAGTCTAAAGAAGTCCCGAAGCAGGAGAGCCCCTGACTCCTCACAGAAGGCCAGAGATGCCGGGGGCGGCGGGAGGAAGGCTGAGTATCAGAGAATGGGGGATGGGAAGAACAAGTCGGGGAAGCCGCTTCCTCGGTAAAGCTGGCTGTCTAGGTCGCGTCTTTGATTTTTGCTTCGCCCCATCCCTCCTTTTTGGAAAACACGAATTATATCTTACGGAGGAAAGCAGCTCCAGTTCCAGCCTGGCGAGCTGGGACAGGTGTAGGGAGGAATGCATGGCCTTCCGGGGGTACAAAATGGGGTTGGGGGCGGCAGCCTAGAGAATCGGTAGCTGTGAGTCCTCTCCGCCAAGGCTGAGGTGCGGGGTGGGAGGAGCCTTTGAATGAGGGGTGTCAGAGGGAACCCCCTTCTGAGGAGCTGGGAATCGACAAGGAACAAAAAGTAGCTGTGAGGACCCTCGAAGGATGAGGAGCCAGCCGCCTCCTCGGGGAATACCGGGAGGTGGAGGAGACGGCCCCGCCCCCTCAGGGGATGGGCCCGGCAGCCGTTGGGACGGCGGCGAGAGGCTATCGGTGCCCCTACCCTTGCTTTGCTCTCTAGAACCCGGCCTCCCAGCCATCACCAAGCCCCAGGGCTACTGGCTCCTACCTTTCCGCGACGCTCCGGGAACCACTCTCCGCCGCCTCCACTCCCCATCCACAGCGGCTGAGGCTCCGCCCCCTCAGCCGCCCGGCGGGGACATTGGCATTCACCATCGCCAATCGTCTCCTTGCTTCTCCAGCCCCGGCCCCAATCCGCGCCGACTGGAGGCGGGGCTTCTCCAATGTCATTCAAGCTCCTCCCGGGGCCCCAAGATCCCTTTTGTTTGGGAAGAGCCAGGCTGGGATTGAGCTCGCGTCACTTCCGGGAGGAAGTGTCCTCCTGGGTCCCGGGGTTCAGGGTGAGCTCTAGTCCGCGCCTCTCCCGGCCCGGGGTCTGCAACTTTCCACCTTCTGCGTGGTTTCTGGGCAGGACCGTGGCTAGTGCTTCATGCTTTTCCCTGATTGTATGGGGAGTTTAGGAATGGAGGGCTCTGGTAAGCCTGAGCGATTGGGGTTTTATCCAGAATGTTAATAAATGAAGTGGGCTTTTGTATCTGCATTAGAATGAATTAGTTGTTGAAAACCTGGCTTCGCTGCTCCCGCCACCCTTTTTTTTTTTCTTTTTTCTGTGGGCGTGGTGCTGGAAGCAAGGGTGCAAAGATGAAATACCTGGAGATGACCCTTCTCTCAACCACATTTTGTACAGAAGAGGATACTAATTTTGGGGGACGTAAACCCAGCCGACCTTTTTTCCAGGCGGAAGTCGAATAATTGCAAATTTGTGTGGCAGGTTTTCTCTCTCTATGCTTGCCAACTGAGGCGACTTTTTTCTGTCCTTGGCCTCATTATATTGTGGGGAATGGTTTGCAGTGAAGCTGAGAGAGTGGAGAGTACAGAGGATGCAAGGAATGTCTGCCTTGTGAACACAGGAATGCAGATCTTAGAGGCAGCAAGTCCTAGGCAGGACCAAATAACTCAGAGAGAGGAGTGGATGTTTAACTAGCTGTATCCCTACCTGAGGTCAAAGTTTTTTAATTCCGTTTCCATTGAATGGCTGTCAGCTCACAGATTGATTCAACTGGTTACATTTACAATAACCACATTATTTTAAATATACGTATGAGACAAATATAATGCCTAAATAATTATTAATTAATAATTAATACATTATCCCTAAGCTTAGCAATTACAGTTTGCAAGACAGCATTAGGGACCTAGTACTTGCCTAGTCAGACAGTCCTCAAGGCAGATGCAGCCTGCCTCATGCAGTTTACAGTCTGACCGAGGGATGTAATCAGTCTGTGATTGAGTCTGAATGAAGTAAACAACTATTAATGTTATCATTGTGCCATGTACTTTCATTTAATGGTATTTTATGTCATCTTGAGTACTGTGTGAGAAATCTATCCTACAGTGTAGGATAGATATCATTGTGTCCAACTTACGGACGAGAAGACAGAGATTCAGAGAAATCAAATAAAAGCTAGTAAATGGTAAAGAACTTCCAGTAAGGATGTGTGACTCCAAACTTATGCCATATTCTGCTCACTTCACGTTGGCTCTCACAGGGTGGACTGAGAATGGGCGTGGATGATTGTAAAGCAAACATTAGAGCCAGAAGGACAGCTCCATGCCTCCTCCTGTTGATTTTAGGCTTGGGAGGGTCATCTCTATAGATGAAGGACAGCAAGACTATGTGTGGAGGTGCTCAATGGCAGCGTAAGCGAATCAGGAGTAATGATATAGGATATACCAAACTTCAGAAAGGCATCATGCCTTGTGTTCTGAAGACTGACAATCTGAAAGGTAAATGAAGGACCAGGCACATAGTAGGTACTCAATAAATACTGAGTTGAAACAAAATGTCTGAAATGGTTACAAACACAGTGTGTTAGGTGCTGGAACAGGCAAAAGAACTTGAAAATCCCATTTCCTCCTCCTCCCCTTTGCTCTGCCTATGGGTATGCAGTGAGGAAGTGCCTCATCGCCTGACAATGAGGAAGATGTGGGAGAACAGGCTATTTTCTGCTGGCTCTGAGTCACTCTAAGAGTTGTTCTAGTGAATCAGCTCCTCCCCTTTTTTTTTTTTTTGAGATTGTGTCATTGCACTCCAGCCTGGGAAACGAGTGCAATGACACAATGGACTCATTACAACCTCCACCTCCCGGGTTCAAGAGATCCTCTTGCCTCAGCCCCCCTAGTGGCTGGGATTACAGGCATCTGCCACCACGCCTGGCTAATTTTTGTATTTTTAGTAGAGACTGGGTTTCTCCATGTTGGCCAGGCTGGTCTTGAACTCCTGACTTCAGGTGATCCACCCGCCTCGGGCTCCCAGAGTGCTAGAATTACAGCCATGAGCCACCATGCCCAGCAGCTCTTCCCTTCTTTCTCTCCTTCCCTTTGTAGCTGTTAACCCACCACCACCCATTCTGTTCTCCAGCTGACTGGGTGGGAGGAGTGCTCTGTGACCTACTTCCTTTAGAGCAATGGGTAGCTCCCCTGATTTACTGGCTTCCCTTCTGCCTATTCCTAAGTGAGTGCAGAAGGACTCGGCAAAAGTGCGAACATCCTGCCTTGTAGGATTCAGAGTTCCTGAGGGTGTTCAGATTGCTTTCCTTTTAATTTTTCACCCCTGGAAGTCAGGCAGGGCTTGTGAACCTTGTGTATCTTTCAGACTGCAGAAGTGAGAGAGTCATGGGCCTTTGTGATTCTTCAATGTATAAACCTTGTAAATAAATTTAGAGTCTGGTGCAGAGGTGTACACAGAGGTTAAAAAATGGTTCATAACAATATCTTAGATTTGTATAACAAAATGTAACATTTTAATGTCTATTATTTTATCAAATGGAGAGTAAAATATTTATTAAATGCTTATTGTGTGTCAGGCAACAACTTAAAGTGCTTAAAAATTATAGATTGTGTCAATTTTTTTCCAAATGGGTAAACTCTCTAAGTAGGTGTTCCATAAATGTTTATTGCTGGTTTGGGGAGGCAGAGGTGGAATAAAAGCAGCCTAGACTAGAGGTTAGAAAATCTGGAGTCTAGCTCTCATTCTGTCATCAAATACAGTAGTTTCCAGCTGGTGGCTTAAAACAACAGAAGTATGTTCTCTCTCAGCTCTTGAGGCTAGAAGTATAAAATCAGGGCGTTGACAAGATTGGTTTCCTCTGGGGACTCTGAGAGATGCTCCATCCCAGGCCTCTCCCCCAGCTTCTGGTGGTTCCCAGTGGTCACTGACTTGTAACTACATCATCCCAATCCCTGCCTCCGTCTTCACGGCCTTCTTCCCTCTATGTCTCAGCCCTTTCTGTATGTCTGTTTTTCTTTTTTTGAGATGGAGTCTTGCTCTGTTGCCAGGCTGGACTGGAGTGGTGCAATTTCAGCTCACTGCAACCATTGCTTCCTGGGTTCTGGTGAGTCTCCTGCCTCTGCCTCCTGAGTAGCTGGGACTGCAGGCACGCACTACCATGCCCAGCTAATTTTTTGTGTTTTTAGTAGAGACGAGGTTTCACCATGTTGGCTAGGATGATCTTGATCTCTTGACTTTGTGATCTGCCCACCTTGGACTCCCAACCTCTTCTCCTAAAGGCTCCACTCATGTTGGACTTAGAGCCCACTCTAATCCACCACGGTCTCATCTGAACGTATTACATCTGCAAAGACCTTATTTCCAAATAAATTCACAGTCTGAGATAGGTGCACATGAATTATGGAGCGATGCCATTCAACCCAATCATCACCTACTTGGCAAAGTAACCTTCTTACTTAACTCCATTTAAGTTCATTGATAAAAGGCATGAAAGTCATGGACTAATTCCTAAGATCATCTCAGCCTATAATTTAATATAATGATATATGCTAGATGCATTAATCAAGCTATTAAATTATGTGCTAAGCATTATGTAATTTATATGACATCTCATTTCACCCTTAAAAGAATTCCATGAGATAGATGCTAATAGTCCCCTTTTGCAGGTGAGGAAATTGAGGCACAAAGAGGTCCAATGTCATGGACTTCGTAAGTGATGAAGACAGAATAGTTACTTAGATCTGATTCCAACGCGTACCCTCAGAATTACTCTGCTCTATCATCTCTCCATCATGTCAAGTGGGTTAGGAAGATGGGGAATGCAACACATATTTTTCAAATTTGATTTATGGAATATTTGGAGCTGAGTAGCAATTTTCTGGAGTTACGTGTATAGTTTGGACAATTTTATTTTATTTAATTAAAATATGTATTGAGACAGGGTCTCACCCTCGCCCAGACTGTAGTGCAGTGGCCGGATCTCCCGGAGTGCAGTGGTCCAATCTCTGTTCACGGCAACTTCTGCCTCCCAGGCTCAAGCTGTTCTCCGGCCTCAGCCTCACAAGTAGCTGGGATTACAGGCGCCCGCCATTACCGTCGGGCTTATTTTTGTATTTTTAGTAGACATGGGGTTTCATCATGTTGGCCAGGCTGGTCTTGAACTTCTGACCTCAAATGACCTACCTGCCTCGGCCTCCCAATCTCCCTTGAGATTCTAGGCGTGAGCCACCGCGCTCGGCCTGGACTGATTTTAAAACAAGGGAAACCAAGAGAAACGTGAATAGTGGGTGGTAATGAGGCTTAGTAGATAGGAGGAGAGCTGTGGGCACTTACCTGAACTTGTTTCTTCATTTGTTAAATGAGTTAATAGTCTCTGTCTACCAGACCAGGTGGTTGTCAGTATCCAAAGTATAAACGACCTTGGAGACCTTGCTCAAGCTCTTCCTCTTCTCTGAGTCCCAGACTCCAGCTAAACATCTGGGGCTCCAAAAGTCTCCTTCTAGCTGTGACCCACTGAGCTGGGACTTACCAAGATGCTGAGTGCGGCGTGAGCTAGATGCATAAGTTGAAGTGAATGGGGAAAGTGATGAAAACTAATGCTTTATTTCTTCTGGCTTGTCTTCACCGTCTCCTTTTCCTCACTCTTTCCGCCCCCGCCCCTTCTCCCTGGGGCTGATGAGGAGGTCAACGTTAAAGAGGACTCTGCAGCCCGGGACCAGGCTGAAGCCGAGGGAAGGTACGCCCTCCACTGCCCCTTTGATCCTCTGCATTTTCTCCCATCATGTGTTCCCACAAAGGCTTTTCTGGGCAGTCCTTAAATATCCTCTTGCTGCTTCTCTCTCTGCTCTATCTGGGGAGATTCGGGAACCCGGAAACGAGATTTCTGGGTGTGGCTTTAACGTGTTCCCGAGCTTATTGCTCCCCCTAGTGTCGAGCAGTGAATCCTGCAGCCGTCGTCGTCTTTTCTGACCACCCTTCTGAGGCCTCCCCCGCCCAAAGCAGTTTTTCCTTTTATGGGTGTGGGCTGACAGTACAGCAGGTGGCGACTCAAAGGACTGGGGGCTCAAAATCCACCTCGGGGGACAGACAGATTCTTTGTGTTTTGGCAAAATGTAGGAGCCAACTTGTCCATGATGGAAGCTCTAAACTCTCTTTTTTTTTTTTTTTGAGACGGAGTCTTGCTCTGTTGCGCAGGCTTGGAGTGCAGTGGCTCGGTCTCGGCTCACTGCAACCTCCGCCTCCCAGGTTCAAGAGATTCTCCTGCTTCAGCCTCCCGAGTAGCTGGGATTACAGGCGCCTGCCACCACATTCCGCTAATATTTTATTTTTAGTAGAGATAGGGGTTTCACCATGTTGGCCAGGCTGGCCTCGAACCCCTGACCTCGTGATCTGCCCATCTTGGCCTCCCCAAGTGCTGGGATTAGAGGCATGAGCCACTGTTCCTGGCTGGAAGCTTTAAACTCTTATCCTAGATTGCATTTGGGGAAGTCCAGAAGTGAGAGGGAAAGAAATCTAACGTTTGGTGCCTACCAGGTACATAAGTGACATAAATAATCCCTGTAACCATTACATATATAATTATTGCAACAATCCAGAGAGGTAATGTTTACTACTTCTAGTTTTTCAGAAGAGAAAGCAAGTTCGGAGAAGTGTCTTCCCCAAGGTCACATAATAACACTAACAGCGATAGCAACATTAGCCAATGGTTTAGTGCCTGCTCCGTACCAGGCATGTGATTTCTCTTAATCCTCACGGGAACACTTTAAAGTGGTGATTATAATCTTCATTTTACTGAGAGGTAACTGAGATTTGGACAGTTTAAGAAAGGAATAACTGAGAAGCTGCCTGAGGTCACACGGTGAGGTCCTCCTGTTTCCAGTCCCACAGTTTCCATTCCACCATGGCCTCATGGAGCTGGTGGGTGGTAGCGGTGGGACTTGAGCCCAGGCCTGACTTAATGTTCTTTCCATTACTGGTACTGCTTGGCAGTTCTTCCCGAGCACCAGGAAACCAGGGTCATGTGGTCCTTTGGAGTTCCCGACCTGAGATGATGGCAATGAAAATGCCAAGGCATAAGTCCAAAGGATCCTGGGGACAGTTTGCTCATGGAAGCACATGACCAGAGCTGCACAACAGTATTGCTGTCAGGGACCCCGGGGAGGACCTTCAGAGGAACTGAGTTCTGTCTCCCTCCAGTAATTCTGTGTGGAACTCATGTGTTCCCCTGAAGCTGGTGGCCATGATGGGGAATGCAAAGCAGACCTAAATGGACCTAAAAGGAAAGGTAGATGAAAAATTCCTGGAAGTAGATGAGAGAAAATTCCAGTCAGAAAATTACCAGAAATAAGCAGGGCACGGTGGTGTGCACTTGTAGTCCCAGCTGCCTGAGAGGCTGGGTGGAAGGATTGCTTGAGTCCAGGAGTCCAAGACCAGTCTGGGCAAAATAGTGAGATGCCTTCTCAAAAAAAAAAAAAAAAAAAAAAAAAAAAGAAAGAAAAATTACTGGAAATATATGAGATATACCATGGAGCTCCCAAATCATCCAGCAAAGCTCCCTTTATATCCAAAATACAGATTAGTTATAGGTCCCTGGAATAATGCTTTTTTTTTTGAGACTGAGTCTCACTCCATCACCAGGCGCCAGGCTGGAGTGCAGTGGCGTGACCTTGGCTCACTGTAACCTCTGCCTCCCGGGTTCAAGCAATTCTCCTGCCTCGGCCTCCCAAGTAGCTGGGACTGCAGGTGTGCGCCTCCACGCCCAGCTAATTTTTTGTATTTTGAGTAGAGACGGGGTTTCACCATGTTGGCCAGGATGGTCTCGATCTCTTGACCTCATGATCCACCTGCCTCGACCTCCCAAAGTGCTGGGATTACAGGTGTGAGCCACCACGCCCGGCCAATACTTTATGTCACTTTGGGTGAATCACAAATTTTCTTTTTCACTTTTCTCTTTGAAATTATTAAATACTTATTAAATTATTATCATGACATATGCCAGGTGGTAAGTTGACAAACTGGGGGATGTCATGTTTGTCATTTTGAGGTATAAATGTCATATAAATAGTCTGGTGGGAAAAGATATTGTTGGGAACTATTTTTTAAAAACTAATTTGTAAGTTACCTCATTTCATTAAAGATGAACTCTTTCCCTCTCTTCCCACCCCTCCCCTTTCTGCCTCTCTTCTGCTTCCTCTGTCCTAGGTTTCTTCCCCGCAAAAAGTCGAGCCAGATTCCTTTTCTGTCCTTGTTGGTGTTAAGATAAAGCTCTGAGTAGCCTTGCCAGAAGGGCTGAAGCTTACCCAAAGGCTGGTCCTCTTTCTCTTTCCCTTCTATCCTGCCTTCTTTCCCACACACAACCTCACATTAATCAGAAAATAACTTCTGTGCTAGGGCCGGAGACACAGCTTCAGTTTGGCCAGGCTGCCTTACAGTTTCAATTTGATGAAAGCCGATTACACATTTCCTCTGGTCTGTTATTTCAGCTGAAGCACCACACAGTTGGCTGAATGGGTCCTTGTTGCACACAAAAGGGAGAAATATTTGTAGGGAAACTAATGACCTGGTTATGGCTGTACCGTCATTTCTAGGCAATTTCCTGGTAAATGGCCCTTTGGAACAGTCTGGTGCTGGAAGCTTCTGTGCCCTCATTTCTTCTTCGTAGCTCCGCTGGGCTCCTGCAGGGCCCAGTCTGCCCTGAACAAAGTGATCAGGTGACCCGTTTCTTGGGAGGAGTTTATACATTTCCCAGCCCCCTTTCTTTCTGCCATTTGCCTTTTTCTTGTCCTCCTTTTATTCCTAAAATTACTCATTGAATGCCTGTTAACATTGCAGTGGTAACTAACACAAGTTCTGGACCTCAGGGCCCTCGGTCTTGAATGGAGGTAGACTTGTGGAACTCTCGGACCCAGGTACTCCTGCTTTCTGCAGCCATGCTTTCCAAATAAAATAACGCAAATCCCTATCGACATCATCATTGGGACTCCAGATGTCAGGGACAGAAATCCTTATCCAAAATGGCAAAAGGATTTTTATTAGCTCATACAAAAGGAAAGTACAGGAGTAGTCTGATTTCAGATGAGACTAGATCAGTTTTCTCAAAAATGTTACCAGGACTACCAGGTCCGCCTCCCCCTCCCCCTCCCCCTCCCCCCCTCCCCTCCCTCCCCTCCCCCTCTACTTTTCCTTTCCTTCATTTCCTTTCCTTGAGATAGGGTCTTGCTCCACACTTGGAGTGCAGTGGTGCAATCAGAGCTCACTGCAGGCTTCCACTCCTGGGCTCAAGCAATCCTCCTGCCTTAGCCTCCCAGGTAGTGAGCCATGATGCCTGGCTGAGTTTTTGAATTTTCTGTAGAGATGGGGTTTCACTATGCGGCCCAGCTGGTCTCAAACTCCAGGCCTGAAGTGCATCTTCCACCTTCACCTCCCAAAGTGCTGGGATCACAGGGGCAAGCCATTGTGCCCAGGCAGGGCCAGCTTTCTAGCTCAGTGCCTCTCTTCTCTACTTCCTCTGCATTGGTTCTGCTTTAGACATGCCTTCTTCCTCAGTTGGCAATAGGCACAGTAGCTCAGACCTCATATCTTGCCATGTTCAATAGGAAAGATTACCTGCTCTTTTCAGAAATGGGAGAAAACTCCCACTGTCTCCTTGGCTCCGTTTGGACCCTGTGTTCATCCTTGGACCAGATATTGTGACCAGGGGATAGGCTGCTTTTATTGACTAGATCTGAGTCATGAGTGGCAGAGGCTCATGTGCCTGGAGACATGGATGAAGAGTAGGGAGAACTTATAGCCTGAAATAATGCTTCTCTCTCTCTCTCTCTCTCTCTCTCTCTCTCTCTCTCACTCTCTTTCCCTTTCTGTCTCTCTTTCTCCAGAAAAAGTGGGGATGGATGTTTGGGAATAAAATAGTATCTACTACACATTTGAAAGTGTGTTTCACATTTGCTCTCATTCACAGGTCAGTTTGAGCTGTTGTCTGTCCAGCTCTGGTTAAGCCTGGGGCTTTTATGGGCCTCAGAGGGGAGGAAGTGCACGCCATTTGGTCCATGGGCAGCCCAGAAAATGCACCACAAGTTCCTACACGGGTCAAAGAGACTGAGCCCGGACCCTAACCTTCAGGCCCTCCCTGGCCTGAAGGTGGGGTCTCACCAGGGACCTGCCCCCTTCTGCCCAGGAGCCTGTCTGCCTCCTGTCGCCATCCATGGTGCCCAGGCTGTTCCCACCAAGGGACACCTGCAGGCCAGCTCCAACCTGCCCTCTGCCCCATCTTAGCTCCCCCGCCCCTCCACCTCCTGCAATCTGCCCCAACCCTGCTCCTCGATCAGAGCGGGCAACAGAATTGGGAAGAAGCCAGCGAGTGGGAGCAGACACCCTCAAGCCTGTGGAGGAAGCAGGGGCCTTCTTGGGCCCAAGGGTGCAGAGTACTTCCTGTGCCTGGGAGGGCGGGGCTCTCACCCAATCCATGGAGCATGCAGGCAGACCTGATGGCACCTCCTTGCAGTCTGGGGTAGGGCGTCCAGATCCTCACTGGGCACCTCTCTGCCCACCCCTCTGTGTCCAACCACCCTCCTCCCCTGCCAATGGGCCTCATTATGGCAGCCCCCACACAGTAGGATCTGGGGAGGCTCCTGCTTGTCCCTGGCTCCTGCTGACTCCCTTGGAGCGCAGCACTGCCCCAGGCCCAGCTATCCCTTCTCTCTACACCCTCCCTGCAGGGGCACCAGGCAAGAGCTGCAGTGCAGTGCCAGGGTCCAGTGGCAGAGGCTCCAGGCCTGAACGTGGGTCCCACCTGCCCTTGGGAGGGTGGAGGCAGTGGAGTCAGCTGTCTCTAGATATGGGGCATAGGGACCCTCCACTGGGTGGAGGGTCCTATCACTGCTCCCACAGCCACTTCTGCCGCCACCACTTGCACCTCCCCGCTGCAGCCGGTGTGGTGGCAGTAACTGTTCCAGGTGGCCCACCACTGCCCTCAATATCACCCATAAAAAAGTTTGCTTTTAACGTATATCCAACAAATGCACAAACATTTGATCAGAAATTTACATGATTTATGTCATGCAAAGTTCTATTCCAGCCCAGTTTTAGAACAATTTTTCTTTTAAAAAAGAAAATTTTAAATTTAGTGTCAGTTAATACTGTTTCTAGAAAGCCATGGACCATGTCATTTCAAAGAATTTCATTTGACTTCATCAGCCCTGTCTCTCTATTAATTTCTAGCGCTGCTTTTCTC